CTACTTTTCTAGTATACGCTATAAAAATGAAAAGCCCTATTTTTAATCATATCAATCTACCTTGGTCAGTCCCTTTTTTAGTATATCTAAACTCTATCCGTTGGATACGTACTGATTGATATTGTAAATGTTCTCGGTAGGTATAGTGTCCGTCTAAGATCGTGTTATTTCAAGTGAGTCGGTCAACTTTTTTCAAGTGTAGATCGGGCCTCGGTGGCCGAGTGGTCTTAGTAGTTACTACTGCAATCACTAGCCAGTCAACACTGAGGTTGTGAGTTCGAACCCCGCTCGAGCGGGTGCACTCGACTACAATCTTAATTGACTAGGATTGTCAGTTTTCCTATCGAAGGTCGGTGGTTTTCTCCGGGCACTCCGGCTTCCTCGACCAATAAAAACTGGCCGCCACGAAATAGCCCAAAAGCGGTGCTTAAAAGTGGCGTTAAAACACAAAAATCAAATCAAATCAAGTATAGATCAGGTTTTTTTCGAGTAATATCACCTGCGATCAGAATTCACTACTATTTTATGATTATGATAGTATTATTCGTAACTTTCGTCTTATTCTGAATATTGTACATGTTTTGAGTACAAACAACGCACAATCTCCTTCTAGTTAACTTAGTTATATCAATTCAGTGTGTTATATTGTCCTTGTTTTTTTCGAGAGCAATATTTACAACAACATTTTACTATAACCTTGCAGTATTAATAAATGAAAACAATACGTTATATAAATTTCATGCAACTGAATCCTTTTTCTGGATTTACCTACATCTAAAACGCTCAAAGTCAAATATGTTAAAGCCAAGGATTTATCAAAGCCGAAACAATTGAAGAGCTATATGACCTACAAGAACTTAAATTAAGGTATGTTGAAAATCACTCGGTCCTTTCAATCGGTCTTAACCCGATTACAGGGACTCATATATTTTTGTTTAATTTCATTTCATTCTATCTTTGTTTTTAACTTGTCAATGATATTTTATGATTGATATATATCTTTTAGTGACGTGAAAATAAAGGAGCAAGAGAACTAAGGAAAAAGTAAAATCACAAAAATGATGAACGCCGAGGAATATTCAAAACGGAAAGTCCTTAATCAAATGGCATATTCAAAAGCTCAAACACATCAAACGAATAGATAACAACTGTCATATTCCTGACTTGGTACAGGCATTTTCTTATGTAGAAAATTGGTGGATTAAACCTGGTTTTATAGCTAGCTTAACCTCTCACCTGAGGAAAAGCAAATAAAAAAATCAGAAGAATTCAATATGAACCCAAAAAATCTACTAGTAGACTCCCCCCGTACACATAGTGTTTAAAGCAGGTAAATGTGTGTGTTTTAACAGAAGATACATCTTACTGTTTCATTTCCTACGAGTTCGGTTTGTTTGCTATTTTACTTTTTACTATGTATACGTACGTCTCAATCCAACAAGTCTGAGCGCACAGAATGATTGTTTACATCCAGAAATATGTACTGTTTGAAATCCATATCGGAACTCTCACATGATGATTTGTCAATACAAATGTCTTTTTATACAGCATTATTATCAAGCTGGTTTAATGCATTTTTTTCGTGCTTTTCAACAGTACTTTTTTATTCTTTCTCACTGTTTGTAAAAACGCAAATAACTGACATATTTTTTGTAAAGTGTCAGTATATCCAAGTATATATAGATTCCATGTATGCATTTCCGTTGACATTTGCATTGGCATTTGTTTAAATATGGCTTAAATCTATATTTTGGAATAAAGCATTGTAAGGCTAATTTGAACGTTTTTAAAACAAAATAATGTAGGGTTGATAAAAACTTTTTAAAACTAATTCTCATTTACCTTCAATTATCTTGTATTAGGAATGATAAGGTTCTAACGCCTTGTTTTTGAAGTCTTTTTGTTTATATTCTTGATCATATTCACTCGATAAAACATGGTCAAAATTTAAAAATCTCGATCAAATCACTTGATCAAAAGTTTTGAAGAAAAAAACATGATTCACCTGCTAGTTGTTATAAGTTCTGAACTATATTACTATTTTTCACCAGTATAACTATTATTATTTAATCATGTAAATTAGACGGATAATAGAAATCTTGTATCTTTTAATAACATTTCTATATGATTATTCTAGATTTATTGGCTGTGAAAGTTGTGTACCATTTTAAAAATGATACAGTTATTTTACCATGTGATCAATTGCCAGATAAAACGATAACCTGGCATGGACCAGTAAATTTTAACATTTATGGATATGGCACAAAGATCAATCCGGATTTGTCTCAGTCTAGAAGGCTTTCAATTATTCACACTGAGGGAAGCTTTCATTACAATTTGCAAATTCGACAATTTTCCAGTGAAGACGAAGGATTATACAGATGTGTTCGTGGGGAATCAGAAAATGGTGTTCATAATAAAGTTTATAATTTGACAATGGCAAGTAAGTTCTGTAAAGAAATTATTTCAAACATATATATTTATTTTAATAAAATGCAAACCTGATCAAAGTTAATCGATTAACATATTTCAAAATAAGTATATAGATATAAAAATATGTGGTATGAGTGCCAATGAAACAACTCTCCATCCAAGTCACAATTTGTAAAAGTAAACCATTATAGGTCAAGGTTCGGCTTTCAACACGGAGCCTTGGCTCACACCGAATAGCAAGCTATAAAGGGCCCCAAAAATTACTAGTGTAAAACCATTCAAACAGGAAAACCAACGGTCTAATCTATATCAAAAACGAGAAACGAGAAACACTTATGAACCACATCAACAACAGTGAACAACAGTGCAAACAAAAGGAAACGAGTGATTAGCAAAATTGAAATCTTTCAATGTCAAGAATCATTAGTACTCGATTACATATTTTTTTAAATGGAATATTACGGAAAATTCACCCTATGTTAAATTAAATTCCCTGGAATTTCAAAAGCATTAAAAAATAATTAAAATAATGATATTAATAACGAAAGGACAGACAATTTCAAAGGGACCGTAACATCCCAAACGTTAGAGAAATTTCGATTATATTAACAAACTTTAACAATGAACTTGCACTATATGGAAAGCATCAATAAACACTGATAATTGACAAAACGTTTTGATAGATAAAACATGTTTCAGACATATTATTTAGAATATCCGTTTCAAACTTATCACTTTGAGATTTCATTTAAAATATTGTTTAAACCAGAATGTATATAAAACATGCAACACACTGTTGCAGACCTTACTCCGAATTTGATTGAAGACTTTGAATAGGTACTCAAAGCAGTACCAATACCTGGTTCAAATAGCAAACTTTTATGGAAAATTGTATAATGTAAACTCCGTAAAGCCCTTTTACTAACTTTGTATGAAACGATTGTACTAAACTAATACTTCGTTCATTTGATGAATCGGAGGATTTATCAAGATTGATCATCGACAAATAGAAAAGTAAAATAAAACAAAAACCGAACTCAAAGGAAAATTCAAATCGGAAAGTCCCTTATCAAATATCAAAGAATGTATAAATACAAATAAGGCAACTTGACGAAATCCCGGACGGTGTTAAAGGTTAACACAATCATAGGGACCAGTAGTAACAGTAGTATTTATTTTACTGCACACGATTTGCATTTTAACAATGAATGTCTCTCCGGTGAAAAAAAAGAGGTGGAAAATACCAGGGCAACATTAAATATTAGCTGACAACTAGATGGCATAAACGAAAGTCGTAGAGCAGACGAACAAGTGCTCTGAACTCTACATATAAAATCAAGGCTGAGAAGTAAAAACCACACTAAAAACATGAAAAAGGAATGCGTGTGCTCTGTAAATGTTAGCACTACATGTGGCACCCGTCGTGTTGCTCTTTGAAGTATAAACCCACTCACAATCACAATCGAGAAAAAGAGGACGAGACTATGGTTATAATTGGAACATATTCGTGATCATCTGTGACACAAATATGCCATACCTGTCAATCTGTAACTGTTGATGGCGTCCGAAAAACTTACAAAGGGGTGATATTGAACCCTTGGTTTAAAGACCAACTTGTAAGAAGCAACACTTCGGGACGGAAGTTCTGATACGAAACGCAAGCTCAAATAGGGTATCAAATACGAGATAGTTACTCAAATTGCAGGCGCTGTTGGAATGTTGGTATATACAATGTAGAAAAAAATCCTCTATTGAAAAACCGAAATCATCCCTTTCGTCGCAGAGTTTTATTCTTATTTGACCCTCATTGTCTTTGTGATAATTCCAGACTCGGATTCTATTGTATATCTGAATTTTATTCTTCAGAAACTCCGAAAAACTTAACAATAGAAGAAGAGGATTCTAATCATACTGTGTACGGATATTTGAATAGGATTTTGCAATTAAGATGTAATGTCATTCGTGGCATCCCAGAAGGAACTATAGCGTGGGTGGTAAACAATAAAACCCTTGTGGAAGATGCAACTTCGTCGTTAGTTTATCAAATAAAACCCGGACAGGAAAACCATTTGAAAGAATACACATGTACGGCCAGAAACAATTTTACAAACCATTCTTTAAAGCACACTGTTCGACTGTTTGTTTACAGTAAGTACTTATTTCTTCGTAATACAAAATTCGTTAGTTTCCGCTGAATATGTTCTTCCACTATATTTAATATGCCCGTAATTGTTTCAATTTGAAATTTCTATAACACAATTGTTTAAGAATATATGTTGTAAGATATCGGTTTTTTTTTTAAATAAAATGAAATAAGACAAACGTACACAACATATACCCGTGAAATAAGTAGGCGGTTCTTTCTATTTTTATCTAAAGTGCTGACCTTATGAAAAACACAATTGCGAAAATAAAACAATTTACCATTTATTCAATAAACAACGAACTTGCTTGTTATGAATTGTGCTTGCTAAGCTTATATGTGACGAATCATGACTTGTCGCCTTCTTATTGAAAATTATTAAATAAAAAAATACTATACTATTTTATCGATAGTGCCACCGATTGTTTCGATTGTACCGGATAAACATCTGATTATACTGGAAAGAGAGGATTTGTCATTGTACTGTAACTACAGTTCAAACCACATCATTGAACGGTTGGACTGGAAGAAAGTTCTCCCAAGAAATAATCTGCAAAATATTATTGAATCATCTCAGTATTTCTACATAAATGCCATCAACAGGCGACATGCAGGACAGTACAACTGCACTGTCAAAAATATGGCCGGTATCGATTCAGATAGTGTGACAATAGAAGTATACTGTAAGTGTCATTATTTGGATATGAACCTTATTTCAACCTAAGGGTCCGTATACTGTAGGTTTGCAAAGGGTATGGATAATTTTATTGTAGTTTAGTTAAGGGCTAGTCTTTAGGTTCGGGATGGTATTAGAACTTGTTAGGATTATTATTAGGTTGAAAGTAAATTTAATATTACTAACTAAGGTTCTATCTACCTCAAATACAGAATTGCTTAGACGAATTTTGCTAATATTTTTAGGTGCAAGTTTGTCATATGATTCCACACGTATTCAGGTTGTTATACACTCTTGGGTTTCAATTTTTGGATTGACCACTCCGGGTGAAAGCATTTATAGCACATCGCTTTGGACGCACAAAATGTTAGAAATAATATTACCATATAGTATCTACGTTTTTTCCATTAAAGCGAAAGAAAGCCAAGATATAATGTTTTGCGTTTTTAAGGCACACAGTACATTAACACTACTGCTTTTTTGGGAATTTACAAACGATATTTCTTGTTTGTTTTTGTTTGCAAATAAACTTTTTTTAGGTCTTAAATCTTCGTATACACGCAATAGATTGACTTCAAATATCGATGAAGAAACAAGGCAGTTAAATTAACATCATTTGTGCAATTATAAAATCAATTTACAATTCATTTTATTGCCATAATTGAGGAAGTAATGATAACAACAAGTTTTTATCTCATTGAATTTGAACATCAAAAGTATTACAAATCTAACAACATGAACAACAAACATTCATCAGATATTCATATAGCAGTCGTCTGTCAAACATTTGTATCTTTATTTTCGAATTTTGTTTTACAGATTGGCATACGGGTTTCAAATTGCTTTCATTTTATTCCAAACAACGACAACTTAAAATATTTAATCATTTTGATATTTGTCGTATTTTTTTTATATATCAGCAATAGCTTTATTGAAAACGGTATGTTTATCGTCTTAATAACGTGTTATAGTATTCTTTTATTTGTCTTTATGAATATTACTTTTACTGTTTAGTCTGCATTTGGTGGTATCCATTTGACGTGGCTTTGTACTTATACATCCCGTTATTACGTTATTGTTCTATGATAATTCTTGTCTTTCATTTTTTGCTAATATGCTTTGTCTATATGCCGTTTTGTGATTCTTTGTTACATATGACGTGGCTCTGTACTTATACATCCCGTCATTGTGTTATTGTTCTTTTATAATTTCTGTATTCTTGTCTTTCATTTTTGCTAATATGCTTTGTCTATATGCCTTTTGAGGTTTCTTTCTTACATATGACGTGGCTCTGTATTTATACATCCCGTCATTGTGTTATTTTGCCATGGTTAATGTTTGTTAATATATTTGTTTGTTTCTAAAGTGATTAAGATGATAACACAATGTTGACTGCTGTACCCCTTTTAATGACATTTTTACCTATTGTGTCTGTTTGTTTTGTTCACACATCGTTGTCAATATAATGTAATTTTATGCGACTGTCATACAAGTGAGAGGTTTAGCAAGCTATACTACAAAGTTTAATCCACCATTTTTTACATCAGAAAATGCCTGTACCAAGTCAGGAATATGACAGTTGTAATCCATTAGATTGATGTGTTTGAACTTTTGATTTTGCCATTTGATTAGAAAATTTCCTTTTAGAATTTTCCTCGGAGTTCAGTATTTTTGTGATTTTACTTTTTGCTATAAAATACATTTTACTTGGATGTTAATACGTGTATGTGTTAAATGTCTTTTGGTGTTAAAATTTTGCTTATACATCTTTTTACCAAAATCTTTGCTCAAAAAGACCCTTTTAGATCATATATGTTAATTCCGTTATGTTTATGACGTCAGTTTTACATCACAAGTGACCATAATGCAATAAACGACGAAGTTGATTCGTAAGGCCGTTTAAGACCATTTACACTTACGAGTGATATATCAACATGAACACAATTTCATTTGGGGGCCAGTTGAGGACCACCTCCGGGTGCGGGATTTTCTCGCTGCGTTGAAGACCCATTGGTGGCCTTCGGCTGTTATCTGCTCTTTGGTCAGGCTGTTGTCTCTTTGACATATTCCCCATAGAAATTTAATTCTGACTTGATTGAAACATATTTTTATTCAGAATGATGAATAAATATCATTTTAACAGAAACATGTTAAAACATCATATCATCTTGAATCGCCTTCAACTTTTAGTAGTTTCAAATAGAGAAGCGTTAACATGCATGTATTTATTTGCATCTCTTCCTAAGTATTTAGGATTGAGTGCATAAACTTAACCACAATGGCTTCAGAATGATAATGTATTCGGCTGGATTGAGGTATATATAAAAATAAGGAGATGTGATAGAATTTCCAATGAGATAACTATCCACCATAGTTCACATGAAGTGGTTGTCCTTCTTGTTTATTGTTACTTTTTACCCCATAAATATGTGTCTAGTAGTTAATAAAAAGCAGGGTTAAAATCTTATTCAAATGTTCTATTCTTAATTTTTTCTTCACTAGATGCGCATTTCGCAATTCCATTTTTCTTCAGTCATGCTCGAGGCCAAAATATTTTAAAATCCAAAGCTTATTTAAAAGATGAAGAGCTATAAACCAAAAAGAACACAAAAGTATAGCCAAAGGCGGGCAAGGAACTTTGCATGAGGGAGATACATCCCTTTATCTTAAATAATTCCCAAAATTTGTAAGAGGAAATTTCAATAACACAAAACCGTATTTTCATGCCAGTACCGAAGTACTCGCTACTGGGCAGGTGTTATTAGTCCACCAACAGAGCCATCGACCCAGTAGTAGTAATAACATAAACGGTACCAATTTTCCTGCACTGGATGCGCATTTCAACAATCAATGTCTCTTCAGTGATGCTCGAGGCGTAGCATGCATGCAGTTTTTGTCATTGGACATTGAACTTCAATGCATCATAATTAATACCATCATATGATGTGTTTACATGATGATTGTTATACATTTAGATCAAGGTGACTTATGCAAATGAACATACACATGTACATTTAACAAATCCCTCGTGTGACAATTCTTAACAGCTTCGTATAACATTATCAACATATTCAATACTAGGCATGAATATAAGTATTAACACTATTTAAATGAAGATAAGACTCGTACTTAAAACATGCATCTCTGGATTACCTTTATCATGAAAGATAAAACTTGAAAGAAGTAACCTAAGTGTAGATAAACTTAGCTGAACGTCAACTGTGTCACCAGGCGTTAAAATTTGAGTGTCTAAAAATGTTATAAATCTGTATCGAAGCAATGATTATTGAGCTGATGCTGCCCTCGGTAACTTGCAGTCCACAATGAGTGGAACGACTCATCGATAAAAAGTGAAAATAATGTTTTACAAATTTAAACTATAATTAAGTTATCTAATACCGCCGCTTGATAACATTTCATTTCAATTAACTGTAGAATGTCATTTTGATCTAGGCATTCTTTACATTTTACCAATAGTTACCTGAAACGGACTGTGTATTAGCTTAAAATATCCCTACGGTAAATTCCTTTCTGACCATTTCCCACAAAAATCAATAAATAAACAAATAATATGAATGTATGTTAATAAAAGGTTTTAACTACTAACATCATTACTTAAGATATTTTAATCCGAAGGGATTCATAGTGGAATTACAATACTAACTGAATTATTACAATGTATTATAGGTACAAAATTACATACCATGTTAATAGAAGGTATAATATTGGATTTCTGTTTATTTTGGAGAAGTCTCTAAATCCAATTATATATCAATATCTATCAATGTGTCTAGTTGAGTCTTATATTCCCAATTAATAAGAAAACTATTTAATAGCATTGTTCGTTTATAAATTGACAGTTCCTCCTACGGTACAGATCAAATTTGAAGAAAACAGAACGGAAAGACAATTAAACTGTGTTGCAACTGGAATACCCGATCTATACATCTTCAAACAGTGGGAACATTGGTCCGAATACTCTGATCTAATAAGATATCTCCCGGATAGCGGTAGCGGTAATCTTAATCTTCAAATTATCGAAGGAGAAACAGACCGATATCAAGACAGAGGAATTTATATTTGCAAAGCTTCTAATAATGTATCGCTAAATGGTGGCGATTCTTTCATTCCCGGTGAATTTTTTCTCAATCCAAAAAGTGAGTAGAAATAAAGTGTATTTTAATAGCTTGATAATTACGTGATGTAAATAAACTCATCATAGCTACCAGGATTGAAATTTTGTATTTACGCCAGACGCGCGTTTCGTCTAAAAAGGACTCATCAGTGACGTTCGAATCAAAAAAAGTTATTAAAAAGGCCAAATAATGTATGATGTTGAAGAGCATTGAGGACCAAAATTTTCTAAAGGTTTGCCAAATACAGCTAAGCTAAAAGAGGGGCGAAAGATACCAGAGGGACAGTCAATCTCATAAATCGAAAATAAACTGACAATGCCTTGGCTAAAAAAGAAAAAGACAGACAAACAATAGTACGCAAAATACAACATAGAAAAATAAAGATTAAGCAACACGAACCCCACCAAAAACTGGGGGTGTTTTATGTCAAAAGTTTTATGTTAATCTATTATATCTAATAAAACCTTGCAATGTGATGGTAAACAACATGATATGGTGTAGGCAATCCATCATCATCATCATCATCATCATTGTTTTGTTCTACAAGTTTACACATTTTCTCATTGCTATAAGTACAAAGATAACTTCGGTCTATTATTCATAAATTGATAACATTAATAAATTAACCACATTGATATATTAAATCTTTTCTGATAAAACCATCAATATTCAATAAGTTTTTTATGTTTAATAATATTTTTTCCAGGCACACCGTATTTTGTGACATCTAACAATAAAACGCAATATGGAGTTTTAGGCCAAACGACTAACATTACCGTTGACTTTGTTAGTTTTCCAGAGATTAAAAACATTTCCGTTATTTTTGACGGTATAATACATTCAATTGAAAATTATACTCTGGAAATCATGAAAGTTATGGACACAGTATATAATAAAACTGTTTTTGTGAATGGAAGTAGGCTGATGATGACGGTTGAAGTAAACACAGAAAGAGATTTTAAGGCATATACATTTAAACTGTGTAATCAGATCGGATCAGACAACTTGACAATTTCTCTTCATTCAGCAAGTATGATATCCTTATTCTTCAATAATCTTGTACTACTTGTTTGAACTGATTGTGGACGTTTTGTCCCGGGTGTATCACCTGTACAGTAGTCAGCTTTTTTGTGCTGACATACAACATAATTAATATGTTTATTTTCCCTAAATCAACTGTTTCGGTTTATTCGGTTATTAATGCTTTTCGATATGATTCTACATTTTCCATGGCTCGAGGATATCTATAAATACGTCCCTTATTATATTACTATAGGTTTATTAATAACGATTTCAAACGTGCTACAATTGGAAACTATATTTTATAAATGAAATATCCGTACTGTTTGGTTTTCATTTTTAACTTCTATCAACTATCCCAAAGATGTCAATTTGACATTGAAACCCTGTTAAATCGTATTCCAGATTTTATGAAATGGATAATAGAGAATCAATACATCTTACTCGGTTGATTTACTTGATCTCACTCAGATTATAACTCTCTTGCAGTAGTGATTGATATAAGTACATTTTTTTTTTTTTTAACTGGAACTAAATGATATAACCGAAATTCAAACTACATTTCCGTGAAGTCGTTATGCTATAGATACTTTCATGTTTTGTATAAGAATGCATTTAACACAACTACCGATGAGGTGGAGTAAATGAAAAATAATATGACTTAGATAAGATTGGGATTTATCAATAGGATTTTTGTACTTTAATGCTTCAGAGGAGTACAACTTTTTCAAACACATAGACTGGTTTGTCCATTTTAAGGATAATCAAAATCGTAGTACTAATTGGTATCAGCACTTTTGCAGGTTGTCCAGAAACACCAGAAATTATACAAATAATGCCGGAAAAAACTCAGGTCATTGTCCAGTGGATCCCAAAGTTTCATGGTGGATTTCAACAGTCATTTCACATCCAGTATCGTAGACGTGATGTTCAGTACTGGAATACCAAACATGTCCAAGATCACACCATGAACATATATTCTATAGATGGACTGACTCCTGGAACTGAATACTTAATTCGAATTTACTCCAGTAATAGAAAAGGCAACAGTAGTTTTTCTGATAAAAAACCCTTCAGAACAGGTGAATACAATCATAAAGAAGGTTCTCTCTGTCTAAAAACAAGAAGTTGTTCTCTGCCTGTAAACTATCCGTTATCCCCTTTGTTAAGAAAAACTCTACAAAATTTCTTTATTGAACTTCATAAGTTTGTTTGACTATATTGCAGTTATCTGTCCTTTTTCGTTCGTGTCGGATGTGCTTACGACATTTTATTTCCAGCAGTTCTTATATTTCGAAAGAACCTACAATTTGTTATATACAAATAAATTATATTTTAGATAAATAAAAATGATGTGTGTTATATCAAAATGAAGAGATAAAGCAAAACAAGTATAAGTGTGTAATTGCTTCATATTTTTTTTATGTTTCTCTTTTAGATGCTACAAATGAACATGGCAACCTTGGGTTCATTCTACTGATTGTTCCATTTGTAATAGCAGTTGCTGTTTTGTACTGGCAATATAAAAAGGGTAAGTTTTTCTTTTAATAGAACTAAACAAGCTACCATAAAAAGCATCTAATAGTAGCAGAATGACCATATGTTTTCTATTATAAATTTTCATCATCCTCAAAAATCTATATTCAAGTATATAAATGTAAGTTTTTTGCTTTTGTAATGTGGAATGAAATCAAAATATTTTTTCGTCAGAAGTAATGGATGGAAATCCTTACCATGATGTCATGCCAATATGTCTTATTTTTGAACGAACTACTTGACTGATGGAAACATTGTAGAAAGGTCCATTAACAGTGACTTCTACCCAGTGGTTGTATATAAACCGTAAAATTAAAGCACACCATGACTGTTTCAATGATATCTCCAGCCAGTTTATGTAATATAGTTCTAACAATTTGTTTACACTTAGTCACATTATCAAAACCATTTTGGTATGAATGTTTTCATTTGATAAAAAATTAAGATATAACAGGTCACATTCCACCTCCAACAAATTCCGAAACCTTAATTGTGAATTACGCTATAAAAGGCTCCAGGATGGCATAATATGAATCAATTCAAAAGATAAAACTAACAGCCATATTTCGTAAAGCCACTTGCTTGGGAGAGTCATGCTATTTATATAATGGGATTTAATATATTTTTGAGTTTTCGTGTACTTACTTTTTTTGTGGCATTTTGGATTTTTTCTTCAAAATCGCATTATAATTGTTTTTCCTTTTTGATATCGTGTTTTAATTTTATAACCAAACAGAGTATTTTACATGTAACTAAATCTATATTGTAGACAATTTATGTATTTTCTATGATTTTGATAATCGTTTAATTCAATTTTTGTATAATTGCCTTTCCAGGAAAATTAAGAGACCTTGACAGAATCAGGTACACAGTTTTATTTTCTTCCTTAACAAAATTCTGTTAACTCATAAATTTTATGCAAATGTTTTAACAAGACAGAAGTATCCCTTTATTGATGATGGTGTCATCTTACAACTGCGGAGATCTCAATGGTTGAATAAAAAGTCATAATTCGAAGAGAATCTGACAACGCCGTGACAAAAAAGCAAACAAGTCCCAAAATCATTTCACATATGAGGAATATGAGGTTAATGCATATAGCTCGGTTTGTACATTTTAGTATTTATGGCAGTAACCTATATCAGCCTACATAGACATATCATGCATGGCACCTTTACTTTGAGACATCACCACAGTAATACAAAAACTAGAAAGACCAGTGCATGCGATATTTTCAGGGCCGTATCACTCTTACTTCATGACGGGATGTCAACAAGTTAAACTTTATCTTTAACCAAAAGTTCATATTTTCTATTTGACTAATTTTGTCACAATATAAGAAATGTATCAGTCCAAATATTATGCAATATGTTTTTGATACAATTAAAACATTTCATTATACAGCTGTAATAATGATGTTTGCGAAATGTTCGTATAACGGATTTTTTAAAAACGTCTGGAAAATACGGATGGTTCGTTTTACGAACATGGTACTATACCTTCATAAGGCATACGGGTTCATTAGACTCATCTATGGCAATAAAACAAAACATTTGAAAGAGCACTGGATAATGACAAAAATGTGCCAAATAAGGCTAAGGCAATGTATGCCTTTGGGTAGAAAACCTTCGTATTTTGAAAATTCAACATTTCATAAACTTACACGAAATGAATATATCAATAATATTTCATTAGAAGCAAGACAAACGTTAAAAATAGATGAATGGGAAGACTTTCAAAACTACAAACATAAACATCAATTGTATTTGTTTCGGAATTATCTTCAAGATGCTAATAAAACATTCAAAGCACGATATACTAAAAGATATAGTTATTAAAATTGGCTAAATCGTTTTAAAACATTCTACGAAAAGATCCGGATCAATCCAAGTCATAGCTAAATGGTTACCACTTAGCTAAAGATTTTAATGTTGCATATGTTCAACAAATTTACAATACAGGTTCCTTAGAGTCTATAGTTTCATAGCCATATTGATCTTTATAGGTTTTTTTTTTTTTTTTTTCAGCTGCTGCAAATGGCCGTCATTTATCGACGCTGGTATGTTTAAAAAACGTTATATTCAAATATAAAAAAGCTTCAAATTGGTGATAATATGAATATTCTCCTTATTTGAAATTTGTATTCTTAACGCATTGTCTCAAAACTTAAAATTTATTTAATTATATAACCTTTCATATTATTTTGGAGCAGTCAACACTTAATTTGTTATTTCTATTGAATAGAATTTGGAAGAGTCTTGTGATTTTTTTGACAAAAACAAATATCTTACTGAAGAACAAATATCAATATTGATCCGTCAGACCTTTCTAGCTTTTTCATAAATGTTTGTATAACGATTTGCTGTACATAATTAAAACGTATTTAGTTCTGGAATCAATTTGTGAGGGCACGGGTGCCGCATATGGAGCAGGATCTGCTTACCCTTCCGGAACACCTGAGCTCACCCCAGAGTTCGGTAGGGTTCGTGTTGTTCAGTCTTTAGTGTTCTATGTTGTGTTTTGTGTACTTTTATTTGTCTGTTGGTCTTTTGTTTTCCCTTTTAGCCATGGCGTTGTCAGTTTGTTTTCTCTTGTGAGTTTGAATGACCATCTGGTATATTTCTCCTCTCTTTTTAAGCGTTATATAAAAAGGCAAAATGTTTAAACTAGATTCAAATGATTGTACATTTTGCAAAGGTTTTGCCTTCTTGTTTGAATTGTTTTAAAAATTGTAATGCGTGTGCCTTTGAAAGATGACTCCACGATTTTTGGGTTTTGCTCATGGTTGATGTGAACCATAGTTAGATATATCTACGTCAATTAGTCTCTAATAGATGATTGTTCAAATAGCAATAAAACCTCATCTCTTTTTTGTTATAGTGTAAAGTATACTCCTGTGATTTAATGTATTTAGTAAGCCAATTTTAGATTGTCCATGTTGATAGCTGTTTGGCATGGATTTAACCTGTTAATATGGACATCAGTTTCAAGTTGATATTAAAGATACTTTACACTTACATTATTTTAATTTTAAGGGGGTATCGGTGCCGTTGAGAATAATTTGTATGAAAATCAGAACAATGAAGTACACAATGCTGTCGCCCAAAATATGGATATGCCTGTATACAATTCTATCGAGAGGAGAGCACATCTTAGCATAGGACAGTGCGTGTCATATTCGACTACGCCAAAACGAAAACCGAATCCACTGGGAAAACGCAAAATAGATATAGGTAAATTAATTTAGAAAACACTCCTTATGATATTTATTCAGGAGGTTTGTTATCTTTTGCAACCCTGCTATTAATGCAGTATTTTAATTTTCGCTAATAAGTGTTCTTTTTTAGTTTATTTCTTTAACTCAAGCTTAAAACTTTGTACAGCGTACCTGTATTTTGTCTACTCGTAAGTGGCATTCGAATAAAAAAGAAGAAAGGCCAAATCAAATACAAGGTTAAAGAAAGGTTAATCCAAAAACTCTATAATTAAGTTTTATCAATTTCATCTACGACAATATATGATTTAATATATTAGAATCTGAAGTCTTTAGAATAAATTAACATTTTAGATAAGCAATTAAGCCCATACTCGGACTCGAATTTTCAATAGGAAACTTACTTTAACAAAATATAGTGTAAAGATCATTGTTAAAGTTCATACGGTGACTTACAGTGTCGTCACTGGTGGATATTTGTCTCATTGGAAGTCATGGCATATCTCCTTATTTTGTATTTTCACAATTATGATTTTTCGTTTTCTGGGTTAAAATATTCAGATTCTCATGGAAAAAATCAATACAAAATTTTACGAGACAATGTTCTTCTTATTCATTGTGCACATAATGTCAAAATCATTCGCTATACCCTTGTAAAGAGTAACGTTCTAACGTAGGATTTCTATTACCGCGAATAAAAAAATCTTCAGTAAATTGTTTCATAGATGTTTAGATTCGGTTTTACTGTACCTCATTGAAAGCGAGATATTACTGTATCCTTATTCTTTTTTAAATTTGATTGATTGGAATCCTAAAATATAGAACTGTCAATTGAACAGTGTTATCATTTTTATATTCTATCTTTATTTAACGTTTTGACACGTATTATTTAATATTCGAATCTGACCACATACATGATGATTTTCAGCTAACATTAACGCCTTAAATAAAACAATACAAGTATAGGATTCTAGTCACTAGACTGAAATAAATATCCCTTATGCAAATCATTAAAGATTAGGTCATGAGGGTCGTTGAAGATAACATTCATTTAGTGTGCAATGATTTCCTGTAAAGTGGACTATATTTCAGGAAATCACTTCCGTAATTAAATTCAAATTTGGTATTTGACAATGATAACTCTTTTCGTTTGTACTATGTATTGTTTTCCAGAATAAACAATTATTTTAAAACATTTTTATTGACTTTGTAGCTTGTGTTGGGGCGTCATCCGGATCTGCAAAGACTGCAGAATTGAAGGTTCGTGCAACATTTAGATAAAACTTTATATCACCTCAAATATCCATTGAATTTCTTTATTCAGCACATATAAAGATAGATTCTACCACTGCATCGAGTGTGATACGATATTTATCCACTCAAGACAGTTAAATTTTCAAATTTAAAACGCGAGGCTCGCCGAGCGTTTTAAATATGTAAAATTTTACTGTCGAGAGTGGATAAATATCGTATTACACGAGATTTGGTGGTGGAATCTGTTTCTCTAATGATTTCCAAACAATACGCAGGCAAATTTATTCCTTCTTTTCGAATAATCTGCAAAAAGATGTGATCTTTCTATGTGACGTCATCAGGCATGGTCGCCTTTTTTCATGCCGTCACAATAGGAAATTTGAGGAAAGCAAGAAAATTTGACGTCATAATCGGATTTTAACCAATGAAGAACTGAGATCAAACGAACCACACGTTGATTAAATTTTTTTTATACAATGGGTGCAGAAAGGGATAAATTGACGAAGAATTAGAGAAACTTTTATTTCCTATATATGTTTTGTATAGAATTACCTTAGTGGTCCAGGTAACAGGTTATGTGTCCCTGTTTACAATATGAGCTATCTACTCAAGACATGTGTATTCGAAGGTATCTCAAAAGAAGTATGTTCATTTGTAGATAGTGACACAGACAGTGGAGATGACTTTTAAATTATTAATGATATAATGAATTTCTAAATACCAAAAGATATGTGTGTATTGAGCCAATTAATTTATAGCTTACATTTGATGCAGAAAATACCAAGGGGTTATTCAAAACTCATTAGTCGAAGAAAAACTGACCACCCTATAGAAAAAGAAAATAACGAATTACGAATTAGTTCCAAAACAAAAACATGTGACACTATTCGCGGTCTTCATGAAAGTAAAAACCCGCTGATAAGTATTATTCTATGATGCCAAAATTTATCCAAGAAAAGTTAGACATGTTCGTTAAAAGTTGTTTACCTTTTTCATGATTGCTATTACGAGAACTACAATGCGTCAGCGGTTATCTGTGATACAGATATTACATAATGATTAACAAACTAGTGATGGCTTTCGTAAACTTTAGGATATGGTTTGCAATGTTTCTGCACAAATTGTTTAATTCCTACGATGACCTTCTTGGTGCTTTGATTTTTAAAGTGCACTCATGACTTCCTGGACCTTATTAATAAGTTGTTGACGAAATGCATGTTTACAAAATTTACAACAGTAATGTCTGTGTAATTCAAACGTTAACTGTAGAAGAAGATTTACTGTATAAAATACATTCCTTCTGTTTAATTTCAGTGCCCTGATGAACTTAACTATATAGATGTGTGTTTTGAACCAAAACCGAGCGGACACAAGTTTCAAATTCACGGTAGTGACAATAAAACTGATTACGTGGACATTGATTTCTCAAAAAGAATTTGTTCATTTGCAGAAAGTGAGAGAGACAGTGATGATGACCTTTCAAGTATTGATGATATAAGAATGATGAGGAAAGGACAACAGTGAAAAATACAAATGTATATTCTTTTGTTTCTTTCATCAATGATTTTTTTTTATTTCACAGTGTATATTTTGATACTTTTCATTCGTATATAGAGATATCACTTTAGTATTAAAACTTTACATGTTTTGTATACTTTATATTTCCTTATTTTAATAAATAATACATGCAAATAGTATTATCATTAACTAAGTTCATAATAAAATTATCATAAACATTTTTAATTCAGTATATTTGAATTTATATGAAGAATAACAGCGTTGCACGGTTGTGTACCAATTACTATTGCATTTATCAAGTTTATAAACAGGAACAACGTAAATCTTGATATTTTAGGGACAAAAACACATGTCGCTTATGAGCTGAGATATAGCCACATCGTTAATAAATTCCTGATGGCACCATGAACATTTGTAATGTTTTTGTCATTCTTCTTAGTTATGTCAGTTGAAACAATCGTTGTGTCAGGAGCTTTCCATTTTGAATGAAGTGAACTTGAAAAAAAGCAACGTTTTGATTGACAAATGTAAACACCATAAGAATGAGGCAATAATTTTATAGTCTGAGAAAGAGGAAGTTTGTCATAGATTTTATTTGGTAGTCGTCCGTCTGTGTAAAAGGAAAATGAATTATATCTTCATATCTTATAGATTAAGTGTGTTCGAAGTTCATTTCTTAATTAACCACCATCAGAAATGATGAAACCAAAACATTTGATGAAATTCAGGGATGCATAAATAGGTTAAAATGTTATGAGCTAATTGACCAAACAGGACCTCAAAAGATAAAGAACATTTCTTCTAGATCAAATTTGTTAAGATATTTTATTATGGAATAAATCAAGATATGAAGATTACTTTCTAGTTTCGTCTGTATCCTAATTGCAAGGACTCATTGAGGGAGTTGTTAGTGAAGGACCAAACAAAATCAATATATCTGGGATTAAACTAATGAACTTGGCGAGATGTTTTTTCTTGTTTGTCTTTCAGAGGAGAATTTATAAATTCTGCATCATATTTGTACAAAAACAAGTCAAATATTATGGAGTACAATAACATGTCAGGAATATTTTTTTTTGGATTCCGCTATACTGTTAGTTTACTTTTTTCAAAAAACAACTTTAATTGATGAAAGTAGTGCCTTAAACATTATATTTTCAAAATCAGTTTGTGACAATGTCTAGTAAACCTGTCTTTTAAGACCGGACATACTATTTTTTTTATCAAAATTTTCGTTTTAGATGTAGAACTGACTCTCGAAAAAAAGTATGTTTAATGAAAACAATAATGCTTTAAAATAGATTTAAATTCGTTAGTATATATATAATTTTATATTTTATTAAAAAAGATAGAAAAATACCAAAGTATGAATTGAAACAAACAAAGAATTGTTCAAATCTATCCTTTCCATAACATTAAATCATTAAAAATCATACTGTAAATATGGTAATGACATCAACAATTGTTGCTGCATCTAAAAACAAAGAATACTGACATGATACACGTACTAACAGCAGGTAAAGGGTTCAACAATAATTATAAAGTAACCAAATTAAACAGTTCTTAAAAACTAAAACGTTAGGGATTATTGCGGAATGACTTTTCAACGTCTGTATTTATAAGGTGTTTGTCTATCAAAGATTTGAGTCCTCAAACATACCTGAAGAGATATTAATTGTTAAAATGCGCATATGGTGCAGTACAATGAATGCCGTAAATGCTATAACAAATAAAACTGAACCAAAAATTTCACAAATTATTTTACGATTTTTGTATTTGCAAAAAAGGTATGAACAGTCATTGAAAGTATTGAGTCATGTGCATTTTTATAAATTACTGCTGAAAATTTCAATCTTATGAATTATGATGTATTGAAATCATAAATAGATATAAGAAGACGTGGTATGAAATTTGTTTATCTGGACTGTGCTAAAGCAAACGTTAGAACTACTTTATCAAAATCGTAGTATCTGCTATCACAAGAGGACAATTGGCGCCATAAACCATTCGAGTACTTTATATTTTTTTAATGTGCTGTTGTTTACAATGGTTTAAATCTAATGATGGTGGTTTATAATTCTTCCGTAGTCGTTTCTAAATTTATTTATATATTGTTCCCAGTATAATGTGCCGGATGATCAGTCTATTGTTTATTGAATTGAAGTTGAGTAGGATGTCCTCTTTTGACATTATAAGTAGATACTTGATTATCATTTCCAAATCGTTCTGTAGGTTCTCAACAATATTGTTCAAATTATTGACATTTAGTTATTTTCACTGCACTTTATCCTTGACATCGTTTCCTACCATTTGAAGTTTATCAATTGTTATCAACAATCATGGATAACTGTGTCACATAAAACATTTACATTTCTTAAGAGTGAGCATCGTTGTCTTGGTGAAAAAATTGGTGCATTTCTCTCTTGTAAAAACATTGTATCCAATAAATTAATGTGTAATAGGGCGCCATACAAATTCAGATCAAAAATTACTTATGTCAAAACATATAACAAATTTCAAAAATTATAAATTTACAATATATTTTAATATTGATGTATGATGTCGATCTTGATTTTCGTACTAAATATTCGATACTAGATTTTAAAGATGGGGCTGAGTTGTTCCATATAGTTATTTTTATCATTTCCCAGTTATAAGTTCTACGGATTATAAATCAATTATAGTCATAGTGAGTTCTACTTTCCTATGTATGCGGACTTTGAGACAAAATGACAGACGTCACTAAACAATTTGAAGCATGCTGTTTCTATCAATTGACATGTTTTGACAGGCTTCATTATCCTAGACAGACACTTGAACATGTGACAGGGATAAATTAATGTTTTAAGATGTCAAGTTTACTGCCTTTTCCAATCTTTTATATTCATGAATAGTAGAAACAAATCCTTGTGTCTTTAAAGTGATACGAGAGACACCATAGGGACATCCAAACTCATAATTCGAAAATAAACTGACAAAGCGATGGTTTAAAAAGAAAAAGACCAACAAACAAACAATAGTACACCAAACACAACATAGAAAACTAAAGACGGAGCTACAAAAACTCCAAAAAATGGAGGTGATCTCAGGTGCTGTGGAAGGGTAAACAGATCCTACTCAACATGTGGCAGCCGCCGTGTTGCTCATGTTAGTACAAACCAGGTAATAAGTCTAATTCGGTAGGTTACATTCGGAAAAGGAGACGGGGTTGAAGATCCGACATTAAGAACATATCCGCTTTCACATGTTCTTATTCAATTTGTCAGAGACGATCAAGGACTACTCTGAATCACAACCAAATAATGTTGCCACGCAGAAACAGTTCATCGTAGTGTGATACGAATAATAATTCATCATGTGAGCTAAATAGCAACTTTTTTTAGGTAAAGAAATTTTTTAATGTCACAACTCTGCAATTGAAGGAAAAGTATCTAGTCATGAACATGATATCTCAATTGAATAGCCATCCATAGTCAAAACAGCGATTATAACTTATGTGTCCATTTTGTGTGTATTTATATGCTCATCACCATTACTTAACACAATAATATCTACATTACCTAGCATTTCGTAATGAACAAACTATATTGTAAAAACGGTAGATATGTACAAAGAGGAATAATTCAAAGTAATTAATGTGGTATTTTTAGTGAACTAACTATCAATATTAAACTCACACGAACTGCAACGATTATTTCCAACTGAATAGCATTTAAAACACTGAATTATACATTGTTGAGTCATTTCAGTATTTTAGTTGATTATCAGACCTAGTTACTGCGGAAGCTTCAATGCAATTCTGACAATATTCTGACTGATCAGTATTTGTTATTTAACTGTACACAACATAACATACTAAGTTGTCTGAAAAGAAACTTAACAGCATTGCATGAATTGCAAGTAACATATTTTACTTATAATAAATTTACAAGAAGAAAATTGTAAGATTCATTTGCAGGTTTAGTTGATTTTTTAAGTCAAGAGTGTTGTATGGCTGTATTGTATGTTTATACAGATTTGACTAGTGGATCGCAATTATTGTCATGTTAACCTATTTTATTTCTTTCAGTTGCTCACCCGATTTTGTCAATATCACGAAACTATAAACTACTGTCATACAATTGGGAAGTTCAGTTACATTTAGCTATAAGATCATGTTTATCCCAACATTTTCGTCGGGACATTGCAGTGGTTTATAAACTTGGTCGTTTATTGACAGCGTTTAATTTTGTTATGGACATCCACTTTTTTTAATTTGCCTTGGAGTTCAGGTTTTTATACGTTCTTTAGCTTCAATATCCTTCCTAGTGTAACGCTATAACATAGTGTATAGTGTAATGCTAAACATGTAACTAGTGTTAACTAGTGTTATGTTTAAGAATGTAAAGCAATGATACTGTTTATAATGTGATTATTACATTACTTAGACATTACATTATGTTTCATCAGAATACGTAATTTTGATTGGATGAGAACATTTGTCAGGCACTATGACTAAATGTATTATCCTGGTCAATCTTAAGATAATGCATCGAAAAACAAACGAAAATTTGGTAAACCATTGTCGTGACGTTAGCCTATTCATATACCGTGGATTCTTTTTCTAGAATCAACGCTTTCTAAATCTGTCGCTGAAATGGATTCACCAAATTATATTCAATTGTTTCCTTTGTGTGCCTAATTTCATTAAGTTTGAATTAGCTAATTTACTGATTTCTGTTCACTAATGGAATTAATTTAAAAACTTACCTTTAATTTTTGTAATTTTTTATATGCCTTCACTGGGAATCGAACCCGTTCTTGAAATCTGTTATGTCTGACTGACATCAACATATCGACGAAACCTCTCGGCTACCAATTGGTTACAATTTTAATGTCTATTTTATATATATATATGAACATAATTATGATATAAAACGGACACACAGGGCTTGTACCTTTATATATTCATAATAGGCAATCGTATAGTATAATTTTGTAGCCGCGAGTTTAGCATGGTTAAGATCAATAAGTTAAAGAGTTAAGTTAAAGGTAGGAACTTTTCGGTTTAGGTTCGAATCCCTATATTCTCTTTGTTGTCCCTATTCTTTAGTTTTTCTGTTTTTTCTTATTTTGTATGTAATTGTGGATATTTTTGTAATGATAGCGAGTTTTACCGTTTATTTTTGGATTATTATTGGCTATTTAACATATTTGAAACGAAAATGATTACATTCAATTTGTCC